TATATAAGCATGCTATATGTAAGGGATAATGCTAGGATAAAGCTAGCTGCGCATTAAACGATTTTAATGCATGACGTGGAGGCCAAGAACCACCCAACGCGAAGCAGTGCATTATTCCGCTTATACCATGGTCATTTGCCAGCACTGACAACTTAAAGCTGTTAATGATGTATGCAGCAGAATATTTGACCGGAATGGTAAAAATTATGTTATTAGGTTTATTTTCGTCAGTTATGGTTTATTTGACATAGCATTCTGCCTACTTTAATATTAGATACAGAGATAAAGTGTGGTACAATCACATTTATTTGAATGAATTATAGCATGTATTTTAATTGATTACCGAGAGAGAGAGAGAGATGAAAGTTGCATGTGTGAATTACCTGTGTCTGTGCATCTCAATGAAGTTGTGAGTTTAGTCACTTTAGAAACAGCGATTTTACCTTCTTGTTGCTGAGAAATATAATGTAGCAATTGTTTTATCAATATTGTATCAATAAAAATTGCAGGGCAATAGTTTCTGTGCTCCCGAATTCTTTAAATCAGACACACTTGGGCCGTAAGATTGCATTTTATTTGAATGAATAATTACAATACAGTATTCTTCATATACCTCAATTCTCCACAGAAATAGTGCTAACATCACATTTAATGAAATACATTTAATTAAATAAAAACCTATAAACATAAAATAATTGAAAAGTTTAGGCTACTGTTTGTTTTTATTTTATTAGGCTACTCAAATTAGCCTCATAAGTCCACCGAGGCTAATGGATGTTGTACTCCACATTTCAACTGATCGTGAAATTAGACATGGAAAAGGGTAGGGTTTCGGGTTTAGGCTTGGAGGAGGATGGATGTTTAAGCACAATCTGTTTTTCTTTGCTTGTTGAGGCTCGAGATGTAAGAATGTCACTCCACGCCATCTCCTCTGACAAAGCAGCCCTATATGACCGCAAACTAGCCTCGTATCGGTGGCCTGTCACTGACATGATCCAAGTATAGGTCTCTGCATGAAAGTAATGGGAGTTACCAAATCAGGGCATTTTTGACCATGTTACCTGATTGGCTGACTGGTTTAGGGGTGGGGTTAGGTAAGGGGAATCATTTTCATTGCATCATTTAGAAACACCCATCAGTTTGAAAACACCCACAACATCAGAAACGCCCACATTTGCTCTGCAGAGACCTCAATCTCACCTGATCTGGTGACTCTCTAGTCCGGTGTCAGAGAGGTGACCAATGGCAGTGCTCCGCAAACTATGGTTTGTGTAAATTTGTGTGATACGTTTCACTTGAAAGACAAGAATTTCAAGTATGCAATTTAGATTTGGAAAATAGTATAACTACAAACAGTTTGAATTCTTAGGATTAAAAATTGAATATCTATTATATATCTTAGGTACCTCTTCACAAATATTTTTTAGCATATTGCCAAGGTAGTTGAACCCCACCGGCTCCCTGGTGAACCACACTTCAGTGTTCTCAGGTTTACACAAAGGGATGCGCCTGGGATGCAGATAAAAGGCTCCTGCATCAAATGGACATTTTGATAGGTATTTTTTAAAACTGTCCACGGGACAAAGTAGGTCACCAGGAAATGCAAATATAAATCCTTGTAAGTTTTCTCTATCCGTTGCAGTGGGATCCTTGTGATTTTTTTGTTTCTGGGTTATGCACCAGGGTCAGGTACTCCAGGCCATTCTCGTCTTGCTTGAGAATGAAAGACTCTTTTGATAGGTTGAGGTGCAAAACAGTTGTATCTCAAACCAAACTTTTCGCACAAGACCAATGGGTTTGAAAGGGGGGAGTGGGGGCACATTTCTAATTTTCTCCATGTCGGACTCGGTAATATGCGGGTGATGAACACTGGTGTCTTTTCCATTTTTAGTGTAGTGCTTCATAATTGATTTTAAGATTGCATTGCATGATTTGAAGTGTTTATCATTTATGATGTTGTGTTTTGTGATGTGATGGTTAATACCTGCTCTCAGACACATCAGACTTGTGACACTGTATTCGCATCCGGTGGGAGTTTGAACAGAGGCATAAAACTCTCGCAAGGTCTCATTAAGAAGAGAAGCAGAATAGGTCAACATCAGCATTTTTTTGTCTCTGATACAAAAAGTCTTTGAATGTGTTAATTGCCCATTTAGCTGTCTTTTTTATATTAACCTCATCCTTGTCATCTTCTATCTGCTTGAGTTCTGCTGGTGTTAATTCCTTGTGCAATTTTTCGTTATATTTCTCATTTACCGTTATCTTCTCCAGTTCGTCCAGTTCATCTTGTGCCTCTTCCCATTTATCAAAATTGCCATATTCACTAAATAAGTTAAACGACACGCGAAAATCATTCATTTAGCTAATTAAATCGGAAGTGTTTATAGCTGTCTCTGTATAACTGTAACTGTATGTTACTATGGTTACCAATGTTTATAGGTAGTGCATTAATATAGAACGTTGATTAAACTGACTTGGAACTACCTGTGCATTAAACAATTTTAATGCATACCTGCCAGCTGTGATAGACATATTTTATGTAATGGCCTAGGAAGGAGTCAAAAAGGGTATGTTCAACATATGGCGCTTTTCCACTGCATGGTACGGCACGGTATGGCTCAGTACGGTTCACTTTTGGGGGGTTTTCCACTGGGTACAGTACCTGGTACCTGGTACTTTTTTTAGTACCACCTCGGTTGAGGTTCCAAGCGAACCGTACCGTTACCAAAACGTAACGTGTAAACTCTGCTGATCACGGATTGGCCGGAGAGAATCGTCACTACCTGCGTCACTGAACTTGTGACACAAACACAACAGATTTAGATTTAAATCAGCACAGCCAGCGAAGGACCGAACGCAGCTGTTTTGAACGAGCGCACCTTTTTTTAACAACCAAAAAGTGGCTGTTTCGTTTTCTGTTGAGGAAGTACAGACGTTCCTCTCGTTGATAGCAGAGGAGCGGATCCAGCGAGAGCTTGATGGGGCGACGCGGAATGAAAAAGTTTTTCAGGAGTCGCGGCAGTAGAGGCGGCGCAACTATAACTACGCAACTACGACATGTGAATAATCCCGCCCACTCTAGCGATGCTAAACTGCAGTGGAAACGCAAACCGAGTCGAGTCGAGCCGAGCCGTGCCGTGCCGTACTGAGCCGTGCCGAGCAGAGTCATACCACGCATTGGAAAAGTGCCAATAGAATGTTCAGAAAAGTGCAGACTAAGAATGCTCAGATCAAAGACCGTGTCCCTATGATTAAATAATCTATACTTACCTAAAAAGTACTTAAAACAGTAGAACTAACAGTCATATGACAAACCAATGACCAGATAAGTATAACCAATTACAGTGAAGAAGACTTGAGTGACATTGATTTTTACTCAACTACAAGGTATAAATGTTCATGCATCCTTCTGTTCAGGGAGTCTCTCTTGGTTGTTGTGACCAGTGGGCTCCCGGCCATGAATAAAACTTTCATTCCTGCAAATAGCAACTTGGGAGTGGTGTCTGGTATA